ATATATATTCCTGTTTCATTCTATGTAAGTGGTTGAGAGATGAATTCATAAAGAACATTTACAGAGCACAATATATTGTACATAAAACCCCAGATACTTTGTTTTCAGTTTTGGTGTAGGCAAAGCTGGACTATATACAGTTAAAGCTCATCAAAAAGTGTTGACTAGTTCACATGCTTAAAAGCTAATAATAAGAAAAACGTTGAGCATGCCATGAATTAGTCATGAGTGTTTTAGTTTGATTAGGGAGTGATTTCACACAAGTGCACACATGCACACACATGTCAGAATTCACAGGATCATGCACCTTAGAAAGGAGGAAACTTGTGATGTATCCATTAGAGGTCAGTGAACCTGACCAGAGGGCACAATGATCTCCAGCCCATGTGGCTCCAAACCCATTGGCGTCTGTTAAACAGTACATCAGACTTTTGGGCTGGAACGTGTCTAGTTCAACATATGAAACTGTATTTATTAGAAAGTTACGGTTGTTCTGAAATACATACTGTTAAAGAAAGTATGGAGATGGCAACAGGGCTTAGCAGCAGCTGAGCTTGGCAGCTGGCTCTGACCATTACTTGGTTCCTTTATTTCCTACCTCACCCCACAGCCGTTTGTGGAGTCCCCACCCTGTGCCTGGCAACAGAGGGTGGTGCGCACTCTGTGCTCCTGGGCTGCAGGAGACATCGGTCTGCAGGAGTAGGGCCGTGCTGGGGAGAGCAGAGGAGCCCTGGATGCCCAGGAAACAGTTTGTTACCAGGGGAGGCAGGCGTGTCAGTGACAACGGGGCTGCGCAACACAGATCGAGAGGGTGACTGCGAGGGAGAGGGAAAGACTGAGAAGAAGATGCATGCAAAAGCGACTCAGCTAGGCACACTTTGGCTTGTTCGAGGGGCGGATTTAGGAATTGCAGTGTGGTGTCTGAGGGTCAGACGGAAAGGTGTGAGCTTGGAGAGAGAAGTGTGCACATCACAGGAGGGTGTGAGACAGGGAGCCTGGGGCATTGCACTGGCTGAGAGGATGTGGAAGAGCCAGCTTCCACTGTTTGGGGTGCACAGCCGTCCTCATAAGGGAGACTGACACTGGCTGGGGCGGAAGTGTCTACACACGTGGTGAGCAGAAGCCACACGAGACACTCTCACCCTCACCTTCCAGACCTGGAAGCCAGTTGTCACTAACACAGCCGTGGATGGGTGGGGACAGGCCACATGTGCATTTGAAATTGAGGAATATCGCCGCGCTTGTGGAAGGAGTAAGCGGAGAGAAGTCTGGAGTCAAACACGCTGAGCTACGCAGACAGTGGCTGTGTACAGCTCCCGGGAGAAGAAAGGGGTTATATAATATTTATGCTTTTGTTTTTTTATTGTCTAATTCTACTCCTTTCCTTCTATTATGTTACTGAACATTATTTATTTACATTTTCCCAGAAGGCATCTGCTAACCAAGTTTGATCAACACGCAGTAACAGCCTGTGGTGTGCAGATTGCCTCACCTTCGTCCAGTCTGCCCTAGGTGGACACAACCTTGAGATTTTGATGGATTTAACCTCACTCCAAGCTCCAGAGGCACAGCTGAAAGGTGTGACCCACAAGGATTACCCTGTTCATGATAGCATCGCTCCATAATATTTCCCTGCAATGTGCTGTGCTCAGGAGGATGCTATCACCATTAAATTGGAGGCTTTGACAAATGTGAAATATGATTTTCTTTTAACATATGCAGATTCAAATACAACAGATGTTTGAAGTTTAAAATAGCAACAGAATCCCCAGAATTCACCCTAAAGACCAGAAAGAATGAAGTGGATGATTTTTCCCTCAAGCCTGTACACAATCCAAGGTCTTTTGGCATCTTTGTGACTGTTAGTCCTGATGTGCCACCTTCACTAGATTAAGGAACGCTGCACAGAGTAGTAAAGCGTGCTGCTGGCCGTGTCTGGGTGGTCGTGGGATGTGACCTTGCCTGGGGCCCCGTGCCTCTCTCCAGTCCTGTTCCCCTCTTGCCTGGACGCTCCCATCAGCCTTGGAGCCAGTCGTGAACAGAATCCCTGAGACTGCGCCACACCAAACTGCTCTTCCTTTGGGTTGTGGATGCCAGGCGTTGTGTCTCAGTGATTAAAAAGCTGACTAGAAAGCCAATACTCCTGTCATCTTGTTTTTATCAACACTGCTTTTTTTTTAACCTTCATTTTTGTGATGTAATTTCCTACCAGACAATGAAAAATGATGTCAGTCTCAGGCTCTCCCAGTCTCTTAACCCTGTTTATTTAACCCAGACCTGGCTCTGGGGTGCAGAATTGAGAGCGACAGGCAGAAGGTGTGGAGTGCGGCAGAGAGAAAACGGAAGGCAAAGAAGAGGGTGAGGGACAGAGGCTGTGATTCCCTTGGGAGGCTCACAAATACCTCTTCAGAGACAGTTTAACTTGTAACATGCAAATTCATACATACTTATTTTACGTAAATTGAGCTCCCAGTTTGAGAACACAAACTGTTTATGTGTGATCTGAAAGCAGACTCCATTTGAGTTTGGGGAAATAAAACTAAGATATAAGTAACTGATCTAAGAAACTGCTTGGTAAAGAGGAAGGCAGGGATGGGAGGGGGTGGCGGGCGTGGGCCAAGGCTGTGCCCAGGGAGGAGATGTGGAGGTGGCGATGTCAGCTCTGCTCTCTCCTGGCCACGCAGATGTGTGGTTGAAATTCATCTTGATAATTTTTCCCTAACTGAAGCAAAGTCATTTTGTCATATTTTTCAATATTCAGTGCTGTGAAAGAGGAACTAGCATGGCCGTACGAAGCCAAGGTGTGGAGAAGCAGCTCAGATGGGGACGGGGTGAAGATGCCCGGGAAAACTGCGGTAAAAAAGAATGGATGGGGAGGCCATGAGGTGCCTCTCAGTTTCTGATCTGCAATCTTCCAGGTTCTGTTAAAATCTCCCAGGAAACAGCGTCAAGTCCCACCCCCAGATACTAGCTCCCGTTTGTTTCTGTCCAGATATCGACTCTGACTTCCGAGGCTTCTGAGGAACCCAGGGAAGCACACAGTGAGCCTCTGCCTGGGTCTCCCAGCTTCCCCCGGCACAGGTGGGCAATCTCCCCACACCCCGAGAAAATCATCTCAAGTCCTTCTCTGGGATTCTTTGCCGGAACCCTGCGGACCCTTATCAGACAGAGCTGTTCTACCTTCCTCTGTGTTCCGACAGCCTCCACCCTCCACATTTCCGGTGCTGTTGCACCAGTGACCCGAGGCCTACTCTGCCGGACTGCGGGCTGGAGGCCGGCATCAGCACTTGGTCATAACAGGGCCCGGCACGGGGCTGAAGTCCCTGCTGGATGTGTAAAGCAGATTATGTTTATTTCTTAATTCCAATGGTGTATTGTTTGGGTTCCCTGATTCCTGAAAAAACACTGTTGTAAGATGGCACTGGGCTTGAGAAAACTTTGTTGTAAATGATATGTCAATACGTCATTGATTTTCCTTGAGAAATGTTCTTACATCTCAGAAAATGCCCCAAGACAGTATAACTTAGAACACGCAAACCCTTATGTTTGCTGGAAGTAAACTGAGCATTCCGTTTGAGAGGATGGTCATCACGTGGGATCTGACAGCCAACTGCATGTGTATTTGGGGAAATAAATCTAGGATAAAACTGACTGGTGGAAGAAACTTTGCTGGTCAAAGAGGAAGCTGGGGAGGGAGAGGGAGTGGCAGGTGTGGGCTGTGGTCAGGATGCAACAGGGGGAGCAGGATACAGTGTGACAGGCGATTAGGACACACTGTGTAATAAGTAGCTTTCAGTTTGTTCAAGACCCCCTCGAGGCCATGTCTGCAATGAAACAGCAATATAATCAATGCAAACCTTCCTGGAATCCTCCCTTCTCCTTCCCTCTGGTGGAGCTGGTGATACTGTTAGAGTGAGCAAGGGGTTTAAGAGAGCGGATGAAGTGCATTGCCCAGACGCTCTCGCTGCTTAGATTTTCTCCTAGGATTTTTTAAGCAAGGGCTTCCCCGGTCCCATTCTGACCAGTGGTCCCAGCAGCAGAGGGGAGCTTGATATTTCTGCTGACCGCGGAGATCCCAGTGTGAAAGCTTTTCCTGCACTCTCCCCAGGTGTGGCTCTCTGCAATCACAGCCCTGCCTGCCCTGTTTGCAGGGCCACCTGCCCTGGACGGCCGTGCAGACGGCCCGCAGACGACAGGCAGAGAAGATGACGTGAGGGCAGACGGAGCTGGAGGTGCTGAGATTTACACGCCAGCACAGATGGCAGTTCAGCCTTGGGCCTGTGCGTGAAGCCCGCTGTGCCTCTCACAAAGAAGACAGGCTTTTCAAAAGGGGTACTGAGCACTGCCAGCCCAGGAGGGGCAGAGCTGGAACTAAGTGGAGAAATCACAGTAAGAGGGGCTCATCCCTTTGTCCCCTGCAGTTAGTTCTCTTTTACCCTTTCAACTCCTGTTAAAATGTTTCCTTCTTAGGTTGTATAAGTCCTGCTGGGCTCAGAGGCATTACACCCCAGAAGTCTCAGATTTCCTCATTTTATACCGTCCTTATTTGGGAGACTTCTCCATTTTATAAATTCACGCTAAGAGGAAAACCTCTGTCACTGGTTATCAGGTGGAGACCTATCTGGCAATGGCTTGTGTACCAAGATAACCATCTGGGTCATGAGCCAAGCCATTTCAACCGCTTACGAAGACTGGGCTGAGAGAGGAAGTCCACGCTGCTGTTCACTCTGGGCAGTGACATCGCGGACATGGACCCAGAAGCCATCAGCAGAGCGGACCTTGCACTCCCAGAGCCACAGGAGCGGGCCGGGTAAGCAGATCTGTGGTGTTCTGTTCTCAGTCATTTACCGGGCCAGAGAAAGTCACAGTGTTGGAGAGGCAGACCTGCGGTCATGGTTTAGGCACGGTCTTGTCAGGTTCAACGACCCACTGGCTGCAGAGAAGCTGCTCACTGTGCTTGCCCAGCGATTCTCCCTCACTCAGCTTGTAAAGTGGGGGTAACTGGCTTCCTAACACCAGAGGTGCACGTTGTGGGTATGAAATGGGAGTTTGTGTTGCACGGGTCTCTCCCCTCTGTGTCTGACCTACGGTGGGGAACAGAAACTTGATGCAGTGACCTCCTTCCCGGTCACCTTGGCAAGGCTCAACCTGTGCATTCTTGCTCTGAGGGTGGAAACAGAAGCAGAAACCCATCCATCTGCACCCTCAAAGTCATTCCTTCCATGTCTTTGATACATAGGACTTTGCGTGTCTTGGGTGAAATACAGTCAGGCTCATTTCTGTATGGGAAGGGCTCTGGAATGCTCAGGTGAACTATTTGATCATCTTCAGTTTTATTTACCAGTGGAGATCCACTGGAGAACATTTGATGGTGACCCTGAGTTATAAATAAGAATACTCAGCGTGATTTCTGCTCTGTTCTTTTTCATCGAATCACTTATTGCTCGCATCTTCTCATTCATCCACTACAACCCTTTGAGCCCTTTGAGCCCTAGTGTCTCAGTCAGCACAGTGGAGATTTAAATCATGGGATTGTTTGAAAAAATAATCCTTGCTCTCCTTCCTGCCAGGCAGAATGTTTCACAGCAAGTGAGAATGTCTCCTTACTGCTGCATTTCTGTTAAATCTCACAGTGCACCTGAAATTGAACTCCTGGAGGCATCTCCCCAAGTGAGTTCTCCACGGGAGAAGGCAGCCTCAGCCCCACCACAGCAGACGTGGTCCTCGTTTTTGAAGAAAGAGCTGGAATTTCTGGGGGTGAGTGAGCCTCTTTCAGCCTCAGTGAGTCAGGGTTGGCTCTAGGAAAGAGTTTTTGGTTACATCACTGGTTTCCTTCTGAGGCTCATGAGAAACGAAACCTCCAAACTCTGGGCAGTTGAAGAGCTGATACTTGTTGGGTCATGTTGAGGGAAAGGGAAGTGTTTCTGCGTGGAGGCTGTAAGTTATTGCATGAGGACTGCACAGAGGAGTGACTCTCAGTCTCTGAGGTGGGAAGAGTAATTACTGATGCCGCCGGGACCCCAGAAGAAAGGATGTGGCACATGTGTCGGCCACTCAGGCAGTAAGCCGTACTCGAATTCAGTCCTCACAGTAGCCAGGGAGTCACTGGGAAATCACACATTCAGAGCACTTCTCGGGACAGCCTAAGGCGCTAAAAACCATATCTGGTCTCAGTTATAAGGAAATTGAAATAATCTGGGGGAAATAGCTTCTAACTTCATAAAACTCACATGTTTTTCTATAGGTCACACAAATTTTGGTTGGTTTGCTCTGCCTTTGTTTTGGAATAATTGTCTACTCTGTACTTGATATTTCACACTTCGATGGAGAAGTATTTTCATCATTCCATGCAGGCTATCCATTCTGGGGAGCGGTACTTGTGAGTATATAATTGTTTTTGAATAACACAGAGCATAGATTTTATTTTTCTCAGGTTTAACCAATCATTTGTGTCCAGTATTAAGACAATATAATTATTTATATATATTCATAATGTATATATATATATTTTCATTTTAAAAACACATTTTCATGTATGTAGTCACTAATAGCAATAAGCATTCTTATAGTTAGCTATGGGCTACACACTTACCATACTTTCACTAGACAAGACACTATGGACTAATAAATGTTAAATGCCTTGCTCAAGGTACTTTTAGGTAATAGAAGTAGAACGTAAACTTCCAGAAGCCACTTCTAGGAAGATAACCCTCACTATTCATTGATGGCTGTTACACTGTTATGTGATCAATTCATACAATTTTATGTCAATTAAAATAATTTTAAAAAGTTACTTTTATGAAAGGTGTGGAGAAGAAACCACTTAGGGGAAGAGAAGAACTTCTCCTATATCCTAGACCACTCTTCTTTTTATTAGTACATGTACAGAGTGCATAATGTTTACGTTTCTTTTGTGGAACTGGCGTAGGTACACCGCACACCCTCACCCCTTCTTTCATCCCCTTCCCCTCTCTCCGCTCTGTCTGTCAATCCTCTCCCCATTTACGAAAGATCTATCTTCCCCACTTCCTGTTATCTATCTTTTATTTTGCTCTTCATGTATAATTTGGGAGAGTGGTATCCACTGTATAAATACATTTACTTTATCTATTCATCTGTCCATTGGCATATAGGCTTCTCCCAAGTGTCAGCTGTCGTGAATTGTGCTGCTATAAACATGGGCACACTCTTGGGTTTTTCTCATTGGATTCCTTTTAGTCATTGTAGTCTCGGGAAACTAGATGGCCAATAGAGATCACAAGGACATATGGCTTTATTGAGATAAAATTGACATTCCATAAACTGGAAACATTGAGGGTGTATAATTTGATGATTTTGGACTCATATGTGCCCACATTTAAAAATGTCAGCACAAAGCCAGGTGTGGTGGCTCACACCTGTAATCCCAGCATTTGGGAGACTGAGGCAGGAGGATCACCGTGAGTTCGAGACCAGCCTGGGCTACAGAGTGAGTTCCAGGTCAGTGTCAAATACATAGTGAGACCCTGTCTCAAAAAAAAAAAATGTGAGCACATCAATATAATGAGCCTATCATCATTCTGAAAGCTTCCTGTGTTTCCCGAAACGCCTCCCTGCTGCCCTCCGTGCCCTGCTTTTCTAGCTCAATCCCTGGCCTTCCCTGTGACTGTAACTCAATATGCATTTCTAGGTCTTTATAGAAATGGAATCCCACGGCCTGTGCTTTCTCCCTATGGTCTGTCTCCTTTTATTCCATATAATTATTAGGCAATTATCTATATTTTTGTATCAATATTTTGTCATAAGGATACATTTTAACTCTGTGAATATCACATAAGCGTCTCACTCTACTAAATACTCAGTGCCCAGATCACTTGTTCCAGCCTCTTCACCAACCTCTATCTTACTTTATTTGAAATTTCTCTCCACTGATTTTTTTTTATTTTTTAAAAATTCTGTTTAACAGGCCAAGTGTTTCATTTTTTTAAATTGAGTTTATTGGTACATTTTAGGTATACAGTACAATCACATTCATCATTGGGATGGTGTACCTTTACATGACAGGTCTTGGTTCTCATTTTTTCCACTTACCCCTGCCCTTCCTTCACCCTCTCCTCCCTTCCCTATTTACGAATACTTTATTTCCATTTTTTTTCATTTTCTTGTATCTTTTTCTTTTCTCTTATTTCCTCTCCCCTACCCTTCCCAGTTCCCCTACACCTTTAGCCCTTTTCTTCCTATTTCACATTGTCAATTATACTATTAGGATTTTATGTACAATTATACTTTTTAACACCAGAGAAACTATTCAGTATTTATATATGTGTGACTTATTGATTTCACTTAAGAGTATATCCTCAATATGCATCCATTTTCCTATAAATGACTCTAATTTCTCATTCTTTATGGCTGAGTAGTATTACATTTTATAGAAAAAACACATCTTCTTTATCCAGTTTCCAACTGATGGGCAAATGGGCTGTTTCCAAGTTTTAGCTATTACACACTGTGCCGCTATAAACATAGGTGCGCATATATCACTGTGATATGATTCTTTTAATTCTTTTGGAAAGATACCCAGCAGAGGGATGGCTGGGTCAAATGAAACCTCTAATCCCAGCTCTTTGAGGTATCTCCATATTGATCTCCATAGTGGTTGCACCAGTCTGCACTCCCACCAACAACGGAGAAGGGTTCAGTTCTCTCCACAACCCCGCCAACATTTGTTATTGGTTGATTTCTTGGTAGCAGCCATTCTTTGTGGGGTGAGGTGTTGTTTTCATCTGCATCTCTCAAATGAACAGTGATGTCTCCACTGCCTTTTTAATTCCAAATATTCAGCTCATTAAGTACCTTCCCACCCATATACAAGCTGAATATTTAGAGATGGATTTTATATTTTTCCAAAACTGTCCTTGTGTATGTTTTTGTAATCAGTACACAATGATAGGGTATGTGTCAGATTCTGGAGCTGTACATGACAGAGGCACATAGCTCTTGCCTAGGGGAGTTGACAGCATGACACACACAACTAATGACAATAAGATGAAAGTAATATTAAAACGAAGTTGTGCACCAGACACCACGGACTCTCCAAGTTAGCCTTGCTTGGAAGCAAGGTAAACGTGAAGAATTTTGGGCCCCTTTGAGGAGCGGATGAGTAAGAGCCGCAGTTACACAGCCTCACATTTAAGTTAGAGATGCACTCTGGGGAACAGGAATGGACAGCTTCAGGAAGTACCCAAAATGTTACTCTGTATGTGGAGGGTGGGGGAAGAGGAGCAGAGAAGGGCAGAGACCCAATACATTGCTTTCACCTTCTCTTTGGACAGTTTGTTACCTCTGGAGTTTTGTCCATTGTGTCGGAAAGGAAAAACGCCACTGTGTACCTGGTGAGTCACATTCGGCCTTTGTTCATCCCCTGGACCTTGAGGGAGCTTATTTGATTATTTTATATTATAGCGTGGATATGTGGTTGCTTAAAGTGTATTGTGTTGGTGGGCTGGGGATTTGGCTCAGTGGTTCTGCTGCCTGCCTCACAGGCGCAAGGTCCCGAGTTTGATCCCCGGTACCAAAAACAAAAGCGTATTGTGTTGGAAGCTTTTTTCGGCAGCAGAACTTGGATGTAATCAGTAGAGACATCAATTGCATCATTTAATATACAGTGACATTTAACTGCTTCGACGCTAGTATTTTATAAAGTTAGAAACTTTCTGTGGTCCGCGTTTGCCCAGTGTGACGATGACATTCACCGTGGGGGTCGGTACAAGTCTACGACGCGCCTTAATGTTTTTCTTTCCTCTTCCCTTCCCCTCCCCATCCTATCTCTAGATCGCCTTCCCATTTGCAAAAGTTCTATTCCTGTTTTCTTATTATTTATCTTTTCGATCGCTCTTTAAATCGTTTATCCTTTGGGTTACTGGAGCTTGTGTCAACACCGGTTCTAGAAAGTCCTCCCTCTGGTACTTGTGCCCAACCACGGCCACCTGTCCAGGCGGCTCCCCAGAGGAGACCCCGAGAGTGATCATGCGTCTTGCTGTGGTTCTGTCTGCTTGTTTGTTGCCGGGTGTGAGCTCCATACCTGCTCTCCCACAGAGCTGCATCCCCAGCCCTGCCCTGAATGCAGCCTAACCAGAAAGTAGTGGATGCTTGTCCAGCGAGGAGCAGGTTCTCAGGGTTTCCCTTTGCAGCGAATGCTTTGAGCCTCTGCAGCGTTTGCTGGCTGCGACTGCCCGGACACGCAGAGCAGTTGCTGGCTGTGGTGCAGGCTCAGGCTTAGGTGCGTGCTCTTCTTAAACCAGGCCAGAGGCAGACTGGGGGCGAACACCCTCAGCAGCGTAGCCGCGGCCGCGGGGATCATCATCCTGGTCCTCAACCTCAGCAACAGCTCGGCTTACATCAACCACTGCAAGCGGCTGGATGAGAACGATGAGTGCCTCGTGGCTTCCTTCACTGTTGTACGTCCTGCGTGGGGGAAAGGCTCAATTCTGGGCCCCTCTTCTTTTCCTGGAGCACTGTCCCATCTGTCGGGACCTCTGTCTGTCCATGTAATGTTCCGCAGGCTCCTGCTGTGGATCTCAGGAGACTCTGGCCGCCCTCCTCCTGTTACCGGACACACTCCTCAATGCTGTGGTCCCTAGTTTCCCCATGTTCATGTCACTTGGTAGCAACTGGTCAGGTGCGGGTCGGGGGACCGCTGTGAGGGAAGGAACTTCGGGGACACCCGTCACATGACTCTGTCTCGACGACTCTGGTGCTCCTTGTCTAACAGGAAATTGTGGCCATGATGCTGTTCCTCACCGTCCTGGGCTTTTGCACCACCGTGTCACTCACCCTCTACGGGATCAGAGAAGAATGTAAGGGGAACAAGGTGAGCAGAAGCCCGGCCTGGGACGCTGGCCGGCCAGAGAGCTTGAGCTCCATCCTTTACCAGTATGGCCTGGATTTCGGGAACTTAGTTTTTTCTAGAAAATTATTTCTCAGTTTGCTGAAATTGGCTCCCATGGTTTATGCTCAGAAGTAGCCAGACTCTTACAGTGCACCCTCCTAAGGCTTAGGAAGCAAAGGATCGTTCTATTGTAGAGGACCTTCAGGTCTCTGGCCTTAGTTGTTGCACCAACAGGGCTTCTTGTGCGGGTGCCTGTCCTTCCTTGTCCCTTCTCTCTCCTTTCTGTTGCTCCAGATCCTCCCTGCATTTCCACTCACTCCGTCCATCCCCTGTGTCTTTGGTGAGAAGACGCAGAAATGCCCAAGCTCCTCTGTCCACTTCCCTGACACATTCCGGGCCGTCCACCCTTGTCGGTCGCTTTCCTCCGCAGACGAATGAGACAGCAGACGTGCCGGAGCTCGGGCACAGGGTGATCTCCTCACCCCGTGGGCGCCCAGCGCACCAGCCAGTCTGGCTGGTTCTCTGGAGGTGGAGGGAATAGTTAGAGCGTAACGAGAGGGTGCGAGGTGCCAGGAAGAAAAGCGCAGGAGGTGAACGAGGCTCCGGAGCAGGTCTTTCAGAAATGGACAGCTGTGACTGATACAGAGTGACCTTTCTCTCCAGGTTCCAGACGACCGCCTTTATGAAGAATTAAACATTTATTCACCGATTTACAGCGAATTGGAAAATAAAGAGGAAGCCTCTTCTCCCATCAATTCATAAGAATCACGTGGCCAGGACCTTCCACTCCACAGTCAAGGATCTGAAAGCTGAAGTCTGTGCTTAGGAGGCCACTGGCAACATTTCTGTTCTCTACACAGTGTGTCAGTTTTGCATCAGATTTCTCCTCTGGATATCAGTATTTTGTTTCTTTTAAAAAGCTACTTTATTTTTGTTACTCCATGTTTGCAGTACATGGTGATTATACTCCTCGTCGGGAGTTGGTACATGGGCATCACACAGCTTAGTTCTTTTTTATCCTCTCGCTTGCCTCTCCCTGTTTAACAGCTTGCCATTGCCTATGTGTCCCTTTTCCCCATCCGTAGATATCCCAGACACCCCTTTGCCTTGTTGTCCAGTACGATCTCATGCCCATCCCTTCTGGGAAGTCCACATGGAATGAGTGAATTTTCCTGTGTGTCTGTAATGGTGCAAACAGGGAAAACAAGGAGGCTTGGGGCTGAGCCAGACTCTGACCACTTCTTCATTTTCACAGAGCTCCGGTTGTGTGTGCTATGCACTCCCCATGTGTATAAACCTTACAGGATGTGTGTGTGTGTGTGTGTGTGTGTGTGTGTGTGCGCGGTGTTCTATATGCAAACACATATATCCCTCAATACACATGTTTTTCAGAGGCACAAAGTTTTATAAAAAACTTTATATTGCCGGAATCACCAAGGCTTTCATCGACACGGAATTGTTGAATGACGCTTGCAGACTGGTCACTCGGTGCTGGGAGTTTTGTGAAGTTGGTCTGTGTGGTGAAATGGTGAGAGCAGAGAAGCTGGAAGGGCAGAGTTCATTTACTAAGACTTTGCTTCCACATAAGAGCGAAATCAATTAAAGACAACCCTAGAGGAAATTAATTCTGGGCATGGAAATGTTCATATCTAAAATGTGCATAAAAGAGTGGTGGGTCTTTTTCTCCCCAGTAAATTTATTGGTACATTTGAGGTATACAGTACAGTTACATTCATCACGGACAGATCTTGGTTCTCATTTCTTCCCCATTCCCCTGCCCTCCCTTCAGCCTCTCCACCCTTCCCTATTTCCAAAGACTCTGTTTCTATTTTTTCCTTTTCTCACATTTTTTTCTTTTCCTTTTGTGTTAAAATTAAAGGACAACGTCAGACCATTAATTATTTGAGCGCCCCGAAGCATTGGGTCTGAGGAGAACACTTAGTGCTGAAGAAGTGGACACTCAGAAACATGAATGGTGGAGAAGGAGTACGGAGAGACCCAAGTTAAGCTTGGGTCCAGAGTTTTGTTTTGAGGAGAAGAGGGAACGAAGTTGGAGAGGGCACGAGGGCCGCAGTGCAGAGTTCCAGTCACGACACCATTTGATCTGAATTGTGAGGAGGGACGGGATTATCGAAGGGGATCTGGGAACGGGGAACAGGAGGAAGGAGAGCATAAGGGGAAGTAAAAAGGTTCAAAGTACGACGCGTATCCATACCGCTTCCCCACAGTAAAGTTATTCAGTATTTCTAGTAAAGACACACTGATAAAGATTTTAAAAATAAGGGAAGCAAATTAATACTCTAAGAGAATTCTTTTGAGATAGAAGTAAAGCCAGGTTAAACTTCATGTGCCTGGAATCAGGGGAAAAATATGGATAAAATCCAGAAAACACAAGAATTCGTCAGAAACTGCATTGCAAAAGAGTGGAGAGCAGGAAGCCCAGCGGTGAAAGGCTGAGCTAAGAGAAAACTGTTACTGCTCAGAGGCAGTGAATGGCAGCCTGGGTGGAGAGAGGTCCCCGTGATGAATCCACTCAGACACAGGGGAGAAAACAGCAAGCAGGCTGAGTGTGGTCAGCACCAAGGTGGTCCTCATGGGCTCTGGTCACCATAGATGAGCAAAACATTGGCATAAGGGTGGGGGAGAGGTAGGGAGAGGGGAGGGTGGTTGTGAGCAACACGAGAGGGTTATGAAGAGAAGGTTGGAAGAAAAGTCAGCGGAGTGAAGTAATTTTGTTGCTGTTGTCTTTATACTTAAACAAGGACAAAACAGTTCACGTCTTCAGCTTAAGTGGAAAAGTGCGGTGGGAACTGAAACCAGTTTGGGGACACCGGTCACCTCTCTGTGTCATTTATCACACACTCAGCTCTGGCATACGCAGAACACACAGCCGCTGCGCTTTTCACATTTTTTTTTCTTTTTTGTTGCTAGAAATTGAACCCAGGGCCTTTGCACTGAGCTACATCCTCAGAATTTCTCATTTTGAAACAGAGTCTCAAGAAGCTGCTAGTTGACCAGACTGGGCTTGAACTTGTGATCCTCCTGCCTCAGCCTCCTACGGTGCTGAAAGCTTTTTACGCTTTCACTGCCCCCCCATTACCTTTCTCACTTTCAACTTAAGGGTCGTCTTCTTCATGAAGCCACTCAACATGCCATATCTTCCTCCAGCCTTCATTTCTTGCTCTCTAACCCTGTGGCCCGTAATGAAGCGTAGTTAGTTATCAGTGTCCTGGTGAACTCCCGCATCCTCAACTGCTGGTACTCGTATAATAAACTGGACTGATGCAACCTGACTTCTTGTTTGTGTTAGTGTTTGCGTGTGAGGTGGAGAGACTGATTAAGGGAAATGGAGAACAAGCATCAATGAAATCATGCCTCAGACTAAAATGTTTCCAGAGTTCCTGTATGACTGCTTTTTTATTTTATGAAAAAACAAGCACAAGTCACAATAAAATAATAAGGGAATAAAGGAACCCTTCTATACTAGTGGTGGGAAAGCCCGCTAGCACAACCACCGTGGAAATCAGTGTAGAGAGTCTTTGATAAACTAAAAGTAGAAATTGCATTTGACGCAATTTCTTCCCCTTCTAGGTGTCTTCCCAAAAGAGTTAAAATCATGAAGGAAATTGTCTGAAAGGATGGTGGATGCTGAGAAGTCCTGTGACAGCTCACAGAGCAAGGTATGTGAGAGAAACGATGTGCACGGATGCAAACTCTGTGGAGATTTGTGAACGGTGTTCTCAGCATTTGGTAGATGAAAGGAGGCAGTGCCTCAAAGGGTTCGACACACCAGCACGCAGACTTCAGAGAGCTGAGAGGATGGGCTGTCACACAGCCGGACGGGAGAGCCCTTTGCTCACACGGCCTCCAGCAGAATGTCCAGAAAGTCCTGTCCCACGTATTAGTTTCCTGGGGCAGCAGCCCCAAGCTGCCAGGAAATGGGTGGGTTGAGGAATGGAAATGTGGGGTTGTACAGTTCTAGGGGCTAGAAATACAAACCTGATGTGGTAGGAAGGTTGGTCCTACCGGAGGGACACGAGGGAGAATCTCTTCCACATCTTCTACCACTTCCGGTGGCGCCAGATATTTTTGGCTCGAGGTAGTAGCTTGTCTCAGTCTTCATATGGCCCCTTGGTCCCTGTGTGACTGTAAATTAATGGATGCAAATGAGTCCTGGAACATGCTTTGTGTCTGCATGGGCTTCCCACAGTATCGAGGTGAAATGGCTTTGGTATTGAAGATAATAATAAACGTATATGAGCCCTGTGGGAAAGTAAATTGAAATTCTTTAAAGAGAAAATGACATTATTGGAGAATCAAATTATCCCCGAAGTCTAGGTTTTTTTCTAGTACAGCATCAAGCACCACAAAAAGTCTGACTAAAGAAACAAGACGCTGTCAGCAGAAAGGGCAGACAAGTGAAGTAGACCCATGCAGATTCCATGTTATTACCAATTTGGTAAAATCATTATGTGTCCCACATGTGCAGAGACAAAACTCAAGCCTTAACCGGGGACTGTAAAGAAGGGCTAAAGCATCCAGGAACTAAAAAATAGATATACATAACTGAATACTACCGACTAAATTATCCAGTTTTTACATCTTCCAGTGTCGGAAATTAGTAAACACCTTGAAATGTGTGACACAGTGTAATTCTTGCAGTGGATAACACTCTGTGCATTTTAGAGTATACTGTAGCTTAAATTAATAGAACTGTGTTAAGAATTAAATGAATGAATTTAACAGCAGCATGGACACGGTTAAAGATGAAATCAGGGACTCGGAGTATAGGTCAGAAGAACCTGCCATGGATTAACCAGGGAAACTCGGGACTGTGGAGAAGAGACTTAGAGAGTGTAAGAGACACGGAGCATTTAGTGGATAGTTTTTTTAAAAATGAGACTTGCAAATTGAGAGGAGGTTATATTGCAGAGGTAATATTTGAAAAGATTAGGCTAAGGATACACCATAATTGCAAAAGATATCCAGGCACAAAATTAGGAACACCATAGGAGTTTTAAGCAATGAAAATTTAAAAAGATAATACCAAGGAAAATGTGATGAGCTTAAAATTTGCCAGAGATAATTGAAAAAAAATGCAGGAAATCATTACTTGATTATTCTTGCAGCTGACAGGAAATTACAGAAAAGACCACCGGTGGCTGTGGCTGCTCCCGAACACTGAGACAGGTGACTGGCAGGAAAACAAGAGGGTGCAGGGAAGACTCGTGCCTGAATAAGGTCACATGTATCCCTGTCATATCTCCCCCCATGTGCTACAGAATATAAGCTGCATTGAGAGCCTAGCAAAAAACAAACACAAAAACAAAAAAACCTTTCAAATTATTGACTGTGGCAGTCTCCAGCCCCTTAATTCAAGGCACAATATGGAATGCAAAGTTTCCACCTTGTTTCGGAAAAAATCCAACGTATCTGTTTAAGATAATGCTGCTAAATGCTAGGTGTTTGTGTCCATCCACTTCATGGATGGATTGGTTAAATTAATATTCACTTTCACCAGGAAGAGGTGGTTTGGGCCGCACAGGACCCGAGGGCGGAGCAGGTGTCTGTCCCCGGAGGTGGCTCCACCGCCAACCAGCGGCACACAGCGCCCAGCATGTGTGGAGCAAAGCCAGCCATTGGCACTGAGCTCTGCTCCGAGTCTCTGGGAAAGAGCCCAGCGGTACCTGTGGGTCTATAATCCTCACACAACGTCTGGCCCAACCTTTGTGTGGCAGGAGGCTCACTCAGATGTGACTGGTGATGAGGTTGAAGATAGTGTGACTTCCTGTGGGGAAACAAGTGGCCTCGCAGATTACTGCAGAAAGGGGAAGCACTCGGAAAACAGCACCACCTCTCTCATCGCCTTGCTCTCTCAGGCATGTGGTGAGGTGTGTAATTTCATGCTTCTGGTGCAGGTTTTGCTTTTCTTCCTTTTCCTTTCTTCATCCCTGGTACGGAAATAAACATTTCTCCTTGTATTCTAAAAAAAGGTGAAAATGAATCACTTATAAGTTAAGTTAAAATAAGTATTTTTTTCTGCTGGGTTTTTTTTCATCCAGGTGGGTTAATTTAAACCGCCTGGTCACATTACTGTCAGCAGCAGTCTGAATCCAACCAGAAGATACACAATGCGTCAGCTAGGGTACATTTGCTCTCATGAGTTGTTAACAACAATAAAAGAGTAATCAAAACCAGGACTGTATATAAGGAAACTGTACGGATCCGAGGGCTCCGCGTGGTCTCAGTGAAGGACAGAGTTGGAAGGGTGCAGACTGCACTGGAGACAGTACGTTTTAACTACCCGGATGAAGAGAAGTTTGTGGGATTGGCCAAAGCCGGAACCATTCTGCAGGGCTGGACAGGTAATGCACAACCTTCTGGTGCGCAGACAGGGGCTGTGACAGCGACCGGCACCATAGGCGTGCAGTGGGTGCGTAGTGCTGGTCGGTGCAGACGGTCCCCAGGTCCAGGGAGCTTACAGCAACACATGAGGCCATGTGGGGTGGCCCGAGGATGGCTAGTGGAACTGTCAGGAAGCTGGCCACACAGGCTGTGCTCTTCTCTCCAGACAGAGGAGGCAAGGATTCCGTGGCCTGTGCCAGGAATTGCTGGCTGCCTCTTGCTCCCACAGTGTTTCTAGCAGGCGCCCTCTGTGAGGACCTTTGCACCCTGTTTGCTGTACAGGAGAAATGCTTCCAGGTACTTTGTGCTGCACAGAGGTGTCTGCAAGGCG